AGTGAAAATTGCCATTTCAATATATAGTCGATATTATGAGGAGAAGGGGAACTCAGATGAAAGAGAAGGGGGTTTCACTCTGGGAGAATTTAACATTTCAAACAGTAAAAATTATACTTTTTAAATATACATTTTACCAGTCCAAGCAAGTCCTTAATTACAGTTTGATTTTTAGCGTTGCGTTTAAAATTTACCATTTTACTTTGTAAATATTGACGTTGCTTGTATTAGAAATTTACTAACTTTATTTTATACTTTTTACATATCATAAGATCATTTTTTAGCTACGAAATGATAAATATCAAAGTTTGAATTATTAATTATTATACTTTAACATTTTAGACATTTACATAGCGAATATTACTGTTTGAAATAGTATTTTCTTCCATGTAAAGAGTAAATTGTAATGTTTAAATGGTAAATATTATAAAGTGTATAGTAAAATCACGATTTTACTGTTTGAAATGGTAATTTTTAGCAGTTGATCATTACTTATTATAAATCGACTGTTCTTTATTACAGTTTACTTTTTTCCGTGTAAAGTATAAAGATAAAGAAATGATAATATAATTATTTAGACTATAAATAATCTAAAATAATTTTAAACAATGCAATTACATAAAAAAAACATTGAGAAATCTGGATTTGAAAATAAGGTCTTTCTTAAGGGGAGGTAAAGTTAATTCGTACAACAAAAGGCATGTTTTTTGTGATTTTTTTGTGACGACGTAGTTAAAATCTCTTTATTAAAACTAATGGTATAGTAAAATATGATATTCGAAGAATATTATATAATATTTTCACGAAGAAATATGAATAAATACGGCAATGGCAGCAATTATTCGGACGTGTCTCAGAAAAAGAAGTAGAATTTCGGTGCCCCTCATAATTGGTGCTGGATCATCTGAAATCAAAAAATGATAGTTCATTCGTTAAATAATAGTTTTTCCCAAATAACGCTGTTGAGATTTTTTCGATTTCAATTTTTTCACTTTTTTTGGAACACTTTGAAGGAAAAAATACCACTTTTACAAAAAAAAAAAAAAAATCGGCTAATTTGAGCCTTTAAAGTGTTCCAAAAAAGTGAAAAAATTGAAATTTCGAAAAACTCTCGATAGCTTTACCTGGGGAAAACTAATATCTAACGAATGAACTATCATTTTTTGATTTCAGATGATCCAGCACCAATTATGAGGGGCACCGAAATTCTACTTCTTTTTCTGAGACACGTCCGAATAATTGCTGCCATTGCCGTATTTATTCATATTTCTTCGTGAAAATATTATATAATATTCTTCGAATATCATATTTTACTATACCATTAGTTTTAATAAAGAGATTTTAACTACGTCGTCACAAAAAAATCACAAAAAACATGCCTTTTGTTGTACGAATTAACTTTACCTCCCCTTAAGAAAGACCTTATTTTCAAATCCAGATTTCTCAATGTTTTTTTTATGTAATTGCATTGTTTAAAATTATTTTAGATTATTTATAGTCTAAATAATTATATTATCATTTCTTTATCTTTATACTTTACACGGAAAAAAGTAAACTGTAATAAAGAACAGTCGATTTATAATAAGTAATGATCAACTGCTAAAAATTACCATTTCAAACAGTAAAATCGTGATTTTACTATACACTTTATAATATTTACCATTTAAACATTACAATTTACTCTTTACATGGAAGAAAATACTATTTCAAACAGTAATATTCGCTATTTAAATGTCTAAAATGTTTAAGTATAATAATTAAGAATTCAGACTATGATATTTATCATTTCGTACCTAAAAAATGATCTTATGATATGTAAAAAGTATAAAATAAAGTTAGTAAATTTCTAACACAAGCAACGTCAATATTTACAAAGTAAAATGGTAAATTTTAAACGCAACGCTAAAAATCAAACTGTAATTAAGGACTTGCTTGGACTGGTAAAATGTATATTTTAAAAGTATAATTTTTACTGTATGAAATGTTAAATTCTCCCAGAGTGAGAGCCCCTTCTCCTCATAATATGGACTATATATTGAAATGGCAATTTTTACTGTTTGAAACTGTAATTTTTTAAGATGAAAGAGTCGTTATTTACTATAGTGACAGCTACTAATCACTTATTTTGGATGTTAAATTATAAATTGTGGCTTTTATACTTTCTACATCAAGTTCTGTAATATTTATATTTTTGCCACCCCGATGTCCGCTTTACTGTTTGAAACTATAAAAATTAACCGGAATCCGAGTGAATTTTACAGTTTACTTTTTTCCGTGTATCGAGTTAAAATTAATTTTAAAATAACGGATGTCAATGATGGGGACACAAAAATTAACTTGCGTCAACTAACGACATAGGCCTTAATGTAAGGTAACCCTACCCCCTCAACATACATGTCAACGTATTAATGTTTACATACTGTCATGTGATTTTATAAGAATCAAAGTATTTGAGACTAGAAAAAATTGCAAAAAAAAAACCTGGTAAAAAATATAGAAAAGCTAGGTCTTAAACGAATTTTTAAATAATAAAAACTATTGATAGTTTCGCATTAGTTTGTAAAAATGATTAGTGTTAATATAAATTTAACTGTAATAAAAGACCTGTCAATAATAGGGTCAATGGTATGTCAATAATCGGCTCTTTGAATTTTTTGCGCTGTCAATAATACATTCATTCGACCTGTTGGTTTTAAATTGATATAATAATTATCAAATTTATTGCTATTAAAGATAATTAATTAAATTATATAAGTAAAAACAATGATTAAGGTGTCCTGTAAAAAAAAGTTGACATAATGATTTGAAACACGATAAAAAAATTCAATTATTCATGATCATTCTTATAGTGTTAATAACGGGGGCTTTTACCTTATGATCATTTCATTTTGCATTCGATATTCTGACTATGTGACAGTAAATTGAAGTATTGTAACAATCAGTATACGTATAGCGCTGAGCAAAATATCACCTATTGTTAGTAGAGCAACACCGAGTTTTTTCTCAGCATAAAAAATATCGTAAGTGGAAAAATCCTTTTTTTCAGTGTGGAATTATAACCGAGTAGCATAAAAAAAATTTAAGCAGAGTCATGATTAAGTTAAAAAAAAGATAATTTTATCAGACACAGGACAGATGTATCCTGATGAGCAATAGCGTCAGATAAAATGAAAGATACTGAGAAAAAGGAATGTCAGTAAAAAAGCTTTTTATGTCAATAAAATAGTTTACTAGTCATTTAGGGATCGACGATTATCTGGATTTGGAACTTACCGGTTGAGGATAGGAGGGGGTGGAAGCGTGAAGGGCAAGGGTCCCGATGAGGGCAGAGGGCATCTTGTTGTGTATTATACTCCCAGCTGACACAATCTGTGCACTTGACATACTCGACATTGTCTGTAGAGTCTTCTCCTTCGTCATGTGATCCTGACAAATTTAAATTTATTACAACCCTTTTACTTGGCAAAACTTTTGAAGAGTTTGGAGAATCCAAAAGTGCACGCCTCATAACGCTTATTTATTTTTTAAGAAAAAAATTAATTGTATAATTGATTGTTAAAGGGGAAAAAAAAATAATTAAGTAATTTTTTACAGAGTATTTCATAATTTTTTTTAAATTATTGCACTCATTTTTCATTTCATTTGCGCACGTAATCTAAAAAAATCTAGTAATATGATCGCTTAATCTCATTTTAACTTAATTAAGTGCCGCTACAGTTTTCACGTGAGAAAAATAAGAAAAGTTCTTTTAGTTTTGTATGTGTGTATCATAGTGAAGTTTAATGAAAATTCATTAAAAAATAAAAACTAGGCTATTGATATAAAATAGGGCAGCAGTTTATCGAATTCTGAAACTAATAAAAAAAGCCCGGTTTCGATACATCAATTTTTTCGGGAGTTATCGTGAGTACATACAAAATCAGCGTACAGACATCCGGACTTCCACGTAAAATTTTTTTCGAAAAGTTTTTTTTTTTTCAAAGCAGCAGCATGAAATGATGATTAGAAGCTATAAGATGGATTAATTAGAGTGCTTTTTCAATGTACGTCCACTCGTATTATCGTATAAGTGCAATATGGTTGTGATAGAGGCATTTCAAGTCCGCAAAATTGCTTTACCTTGACGTGTCGGGAGTAAAGCAATACACTGAAAGAAAAAATTTTTTTTTTAAAAAAGTGGCATTTTTTTAATTGCTATGCGAATGAAACATCAACCTATATATTAATTAAACTCGTAAATATAAAGTTTTAATGGCTTAAAAATCTAATTTTTTAATTTTTCTCGAAAATTTGGCACATATTTGGAAAAAGTAAAAAATTTTGAAAAGTATGAGCATTTAATTTTTGATACAAAATATATTCTATTGATAATTTTAAAAGTAAAATGTAAAAAAATAAATTTTATTAAAAAGTTTTTTAATTGGCTACATATTATTAAGCATTTTACCTTTTCACGAAAATGCACACGGAAAAAAGTAAACTGTAAAATTCACTCGGATTCCGGTTAATTTTTTTAGTTTTAAACAGTATAGCGGACATTGGGGTGGCACAAATGTAAATATTACAAAACAATGTAGAAAGTGTAAAAGCCACAATTTATAATTTAATATCGAAAATGTGATTAGTAGCTGTCACTATAGTAAATAACGACTCTCATCTTAAAAAATTACAGTTTCAAACAGTAAAAATTGCCGTTTTAATATATAGTTTATACTATGAGAAGGGGAAGATATCGCACTCAGAGAATTTAACATTTGAAACAGTAAAAATTCTACTCTTAAAATATATATTTTACCAGCCAAAGCAAATCAATAATTATAGTTTGATTTTTAGCGATGCTTTTAAAATTTTCCATTTTACTTTGTAAATATTGACGTTGCTTTCATAGAAATTTAGTAACTGTAGTTTATATTTTTTACATATTATGCGATCATTTTTTAGATACGAAATGATAAATATCAAAGTCAAAATTCTTCATTATTATACTTTAACATTTTGGACTTTCACATAGCGAATATTACTGTTTGAACTAGTATATTTTTCCATGTAAATAATAAATTCTAGCATTTAAATGATAAATATAATGAAGTGATTGTTAATATCACGATTCTAGTATTTGAAATGGTAATTTTTTCCAGTTGATCATTACTTATTATAAATCGATTGTAATTTATTACAGTTTACTTTTTCGTGCACGGAGAAAAAATTTGTTTTGAAAAAAAAATGGCAATCTTGTGATAAGAAATTAATTAATAATTTTATTCCTCAATTGAAGAAATAAAAAATTTTCTTAGTAATTTTTTAAGGAGGTCCTTTCGCCGCCAATGTAAAATAAAAAATATTAGATTATGAGTAAATTCAATTTTTTTCTAATAGTTAAGGTCCTTATTTATCTAATAGTGAGGTTTAAATTATACTTTACCAGACAAATTTTTGAAAAAATAAAATTTTTAAATGCTAGTATTTGTTCAGAGTCTTATGAGAAATTCAGACGTTTGCAGTATTTCTCGAATTATACTATCAGTCATGGATTAGATGAAGTAAAAAAAAACTAAAAATTAGATATTCGAAATATTCAGGTTTCTTTTTTTGCAATAAAATATATCAGTTACCGATATATTTATTGAGAAATTAATATTTAAAAATCACAAAAAATTCTCAAGTAACCTAAATTAAAATGGAATCAAAACATTTGGCAACGTTGCGTAGCGCGCGAGCTTCAGACCATTCAATAAATTCAAACTAATTTATTTATTTACACTGACTGCAAAAACTTAAACGTGGTTAAGGTTATATTGTGCAAATGAAAATGTAAACAACCGAAGTACAGCGTTGCCAAATCACGAACAGGTTACTAGCAGCTGATTTGAAAGAGTCAAATTAATTTTTGTATTTAACTATTTTTTTTTTTTATTTTCAAAATTTCAACGATTAATGCCTCATATACTATTTATTATTTAATTTTAGGAATTTTTATGGGTTTTTTATTTTAATTTATCGTATATTGACTACTACAATTGTTTTGACTCAACTGAAGCGAAAGGATTTCCTTAATTGAAAAAAGTCTTCTAGACTTGGGAAAGAACAGTTTTGGATAAAAATTCACAAGTTGTCTATCTAAAATTATTTTTCCTAAATCTAGAAATTTTTTTTCAACAAGAAAATTACTCAGAGAAAAATTTTCATTTCTTCAGCAAAAAATCAAAATTCTTATTACAAAAATGGCCAATTTTGTTTTTTAATAAATCTTTTTTCTCAGTGTATGCTATGAGACGTGCAATTTTTTCTTCATCCGTCACAATGCAATATAAATATGTTATTAAATAAAAAAATATTAGACGTAAGAAAAAAGTGAAACGTGGGTTGAAAGTGAGAGGTAATATAATGTCTTGGCTTATCGTCTTCGTTTTTCATTTTCAAGCTACATTTAACTCTGTACATCGATGCACCGTAATAGTGTGCTGTCATCTTTCTTTTTATACATATCATCATTTTTATCATCATCCTCGTCCATTTCACTCAACTCATACTTTAGCGTTACCTCACAACCCTCACCAAGCCAATACCAACATCCTATATAGAATAGGAGTCCTGGAGTGTTAATCGCAGTGTGTGTCTCGCTGTCTCGCGTGGGACTCGATCATTCGTCACTGTGAGTAATCGAGTACTTTACTCGCGCGCTTCAATCAACCCTCCCACGTCTAACCCCTTCGTATAATAATAATTTCGCTTTTTTTATACGTACAGTGAATAAAAAATGTCTTCGGATAATTGATGAAGCTTTTTATATTTTATTGCTGAATATTTTTTTGGAATTAACATCATCAGTGAATTCCAATCTTCATACAGAAGCAATCCAATCAAACCCAACAATTTTTTCAGTATCAAACATTGAAGCTCAATAACATTGAAAAAAAAAAAAAAAAATATAAAAACGGAAATGGGAACAAAAATAAAAAATTGGATTGGGATGCAAACGAAAGTATATATAACTATGACTGCAGCGAGTCTATATTTATTGAACGCATACATTGTTCAGCCAATGGGAAAATAAAATGGAAAAAAAAAGGTAAATAAATAGAATAAAAAAAAATTGTTGAGAACAGTAAACCGTACATTGCACGCGTGCTGATCCACCACTACCGCCGCTACTACCACCGAATCGATTCGTTTAATTGAGAAAGGCTCGTGTATTTTATTTTTTTACTCCCTTTTTAACCAAAACCGTACGCGAGTGGTATGTCGAATTTAGCGAGTAGAGTGACCATGCACTGTTTATCGACATTCTCCAACATTTTGTTCATCGCATCGCTCGCAATGTCAATTTTATCTCCCTTACACTACGCTTTTTTTTATTGTCAATTGTTTCAACGTTTTCATTGGAATTACATACACAATAAAAATTATAAGCATTCAAACAATGAAAACTATTTTCTATCTACTGCTAAACTTCGTTTATCATTCAATCCACTTTAACTGGAAAAAAATTTTTTCTTTTTAAATATTCAATTATTTTATGGGTTCAAGGTAATATACGTTTTTATAATAAATTATTGATACATAAGGTAAAAGCCCCCATTATTGACACTATAAGAGTGATGAATATTTGAATTTTTTTATCGTGTTTCAAATCAATATTGTCGATTTTTTTTTGATAGGACATCTTAATCATTGTTTTTACTTATATAATTTAATTAATTAAATTTAATAGCAATAAATTTGATAATCATTATATCAATTTAAAATCAACAGGTCGAATGTATGTATTATTGATAGCGAAAAAAATTTAAAGAGCCGATTATTGACATACCATTGACCCTGTTATTGACAGGTCTTTTATTAAAGTTAAATTTATATTAACAATAATTATTTTTACTAACTAATGCAAAACTATCAATAATTTTCATTATTTTTAAATTTGTTCAAGGCCTAGCTTTTCTATATTTTTTACCAGGTTTTTTTTTGCAATTTTTTCTAGTCTCAAATACTTTGATTCTTATAAAATCACATGACAGTATGTAAACATTAATACGTTAATATGTATGTTGAGGGGGTTGGGTTACCTTACATTATGGCCTATGTCGTTAGTTGACGCAAGTTAATTTTGGTGTCCCCATCATTGACGTTCGCTATTTTTAAATTAATTTCAACTCGATAAAGTACAAATAAATGATTATATAGTTATTTAGACTATTAATAATCTAAAATAATTTTAAACAATGCAACTACATAAAAAAAAAAAACACTGAGAAATTTGGATTTGAAAATAAGGTTTTCTTAACGATATTGTTAAGAAATTACAAACGTATAAGCAGTTTTGGCCTACTTGAAAAAATGAAATTTTTTGCGATAAATAATTTATACCTTAATTAAATTTTACTATTTTTTAATTT